ATCTATAGCTTGTTCACAAAAAAGATTTGTGGAATAGAATTTATGTACAGCGGGTAAAATAACTAAAGATCAGAGTTCATAGAAGAGGTCCACGAAACCTTCAAGATTAGAAGACTGTTTTTGTGGATGAATGGGCCAAAATCACACCTGAGCAATGCATGCCACTAGTTTCTCCATACAGGAGGCATCTTGAAGCTGTCATTGACAACAAAGGCTTTTGTACAAAGTATTAGATAAATTTCAGGAAGTGTGTTCAATACTTTTTTTACCCGCTGTATTTGCTGGAAAATACACCCCCCCTTTAGAATATAGACAAATTAAAAAAAATCAAAACAACCAGGAGCTTTCCTCTTGTTTTTAGCTCCTCACCACACCAAATGCAGAGTTACATCACTGCAGACAAAGATCCAAAGCCTCGGTCAGTCCTCCCATCACTCATGAACAAAACACCAACACACCTAAGCTTTTCTGATTAGTGGGAAGCCTCTTCTCCAACCTGGAGGGAGTGTTCCACCTGTATTCATCAGCCTCATGGACTCAGAGGAGCTGGCCGTTTTCCACATAAAGACAAATTACCTTTCCAACCCCGGCTCAGTGGACCTCTCTACATCTTTTTAACTTCCTTTACTAAAACTGACAGAGTCCCCTTTTTTCTGTCTTCTAACTGTCCAGTAAGTCCAGTGATAGTGAAGCTGGAACGGACCTTTTTTTTAATTATTATTTTTTTTAAAGAATCACAGCTGGAATACAGCCAGAACCCTGTAATTGGATTTCAGTGCATTCATAATGGGAACAATACTTGTCGGCGCGGCCCCCCCTTGAGTGATGAATAAATACACCTTTACAATTAAACCAGGGCTCCAGAACAAAGACGGTGGTAACACACTGAGGAAACTTCTTCAAAAAAAAAAAAAAAGAGTAGCGAGCAGGTAGTCTGTTAAATATAAAACTAAAATAAAAAAATCCAAGGAACAGAGAGAAGGGTTAGTTGTAAGGGAAACTGTAAATGCTTCCTCTTTGAAAGAAACCTTGCTTTATAGTTTGAATCCTTCCTCAGCAGTGGCTTTTTGAGTCTCACTTTTTAATACAAGAGATATTCTCCAAAGAGACACTGTTTCAATATTATCGATTCCAGGGCTTCTCCATTCTGGGCCGTGTCTGCCTGCTTTGTGAGGAGGAGAAAAGGAAAGCAGAGCTGGCAGGAAGGACAAGATGGGAGTTGGAATGGAGAAGGGAAGTTGAAGCTAAAACCTGGGGGTCTGCAGCCTTTACCATCCAAAGAGCCATTATTTCTCTTATTAATAAAATGCATTCAGAGCTGCAAAAGGTGTTACAACTGTGATTATCAACTGGTGGTCCATGGGCCATTTAGGGTTTGTTTAAGTGGGGCTTTTCCGGCCAGTGGGGGTGACATATAAAACTGAAAATATATAATGAATATTAGTATTTGTCATTAATTTTATACTTTAGGGCAAAAGAAAAGAACATATTCATGTTCACAAGAAAAATATATAGTTTATACCCAGTTTAATAAAAACAAACCCTGAACTATGCTGGAATGTTTTTTTTAATTATTATTATTATTATTTTAATAACGCACCATATTTCTTATCATCAGCTTGTCTAAAAGAATTAAAAATAAATAAATAAAATCAAGCTAGACTTGGCTCTTATTGAAATGGCTAACAGGCTACTAGCATGGTGTAATCATGTTTCACTCCTCCTTGTAGCAT